TGTGGAGGGACACAGTTAATGAAAATAGATAGGCAGGAGAGGAAGCAGGGCCACAAGTGAATTTTGGTGGGCCAGGAGCAGACGATAAAAGTGATGGAAGGGCAAATGGAGATGCTGACATCCCTAATAGCGCTGCTGGCAGAACACATGCATACTTGCCGCCCCCTGCAGCCCACACAGAACTGCTCGCCATGCCCTCCCCCAATTCCTCCCACACATTTCTTGCATCTTCCTACTCCGCCGCAGTACCCCATTCACTCCACCCCTTCGGACAGCTTCCAAAATGATAGCTGGACTTACACACAGCTAGGAGAGCCTCCATCAGGAGAGTGCCCTTCTCAGTGTTATGTCCCTTTCAACAAAGTGTTTTCTGTGTGCTGTTTATTGCTAATTGATTATCTTTCAGATAGTGCTTTTTATTAATCTTTATTTGTCTCCTACATCCAGTGATTACTGCTGGAATTAATACAAAGTGGCAACTGGCACATTTGCAGACTACAAACCACGGTCAGGAAGCAATCATCAAAATTTTCATGCAAGGTGGCAAGTCAACAAAGCATGGCAGAATGTTTTATAGAAAAACACATTAGTGGTGCTTATAGTCAAAATGGCAGTGATGAGCTGCCAAAATCTTAACAACCGGTTCTCTCTTCACCCCACGAGGGGGTCGTGGCCTGCCCCCCCCCCCGGACTCCTGCCCCATTCAACCCCCCGCATTCCTTGACGCCCCCCCCGGGACTCCAACCCCATCCACCCCCCTTCCCTGTCCTGACTGCCCCCTGCCACCCCATCCAACCCTCCCCTCATTCCTGATGGACCCCGGGGACCCCTGCCCCATCCAACCACCCCTTCTCTCTGTCCCCTGACTGCCCCTGACTGCCTCCCACCACCCCATCCAACCTCTGCTCCTTCCTGACTGCCCCCCCCGGGATCCTTGTCCCCATTCAATCCCCCTGTTCCCCGCCCTATGACCGCCCTGACCCCTATCCACCCCCACTCCAAACTCCTCTGCCCTCTATCCAACCCCCCTCCTGCTCCCTGCTCCCTTACCGTGCTGCCTGGAGGTGGCTGGCGGCGCTACAGCCACACCACTCGGCTGCAGCCGGGCCACGCCGCTGCCGCGCAGCACCTGGAGCACCAGGTCAGGCCAAGCTCACAGCCCGTCGCCCGGAGCATGCGCCGGCGGCGGGGCGAGCTGAAGCTGCATGGGAGGGGGAACAACCAGGGACTAGCCTCCCCGGCCGGGAGCTCAGGAGCCGGGGAGGCTAGTCCCTGCTGTTCCCCCTCCCCGAAGTGGGTGCCCACCCCGCCCCACCCCTAAGAGCCAGAGGGACTTGCTGGGGGGCAAGGTGGGGAGTCCCAGCGGTGCTTACCTGGGGCGGCTCCCAGGAAGCATCCAGCAGGTCCCTCTGGCTCCTAGGGGTGGGGTAGCATAGCTAGGGGGAGCAGGGAGTTACCTGCTGCAGCGGGGGCGGCCCTCCTTGCACCCCCCCGCCCCAGCTCACCTCCGCTCCGTCTCCACCTCCCTGGGCCTGAGCGCGAAGCCACCGCTTGCTTCTCAGCCCTCCCAGGCTTCCCGCACGAACAGCTGATTCGCGGGAAGCGGGCGGGGGGGGGAGAAGTGGGGCAGAGCGTTCAGGGGAGGAGGAGGAGGCGGAGGTGGAACAGAGGTGAGCTGGGGCCAGGGGCGGGGCGGGGAGCTGCCGGAGCACCCACAGAGTCGACGCCTAAGGCACCACTTTAAATTTAAAAGCCCTTTTAGAACCGGTTGGACAAAAGGGCTCCTAAATTTAACAACGAACCGGCTCTAGCTCACCACTGCAAAATGGTGCCTCAAAGTTTCCCTGACTCGAATAGCTCCCTGTTGTGTCACTTTAATAGCCCTGGCATCTGACTGCTCAAAATCAGCAGCCAAGCAATCCACCTCCGTGCTCCACCCCGGGGGAAAACTTTTCACCCTTAATCTCACAAATATTATGCACCACACAGCAGGCTGCTGTGACCATGGGAATGTTTTCCTCATTTAGGTCTAACCTGCCATAAAGACAGCGCCAGCGAACTTTTAATCTGGCAAGCACACATTCAGCAGTCATTCTGCACCTAACAAAGCCTATTGTTGAAATGCGTGCTCCTTGCTGCTGTCCAGGTTTCCAGTGTAAGGCTTCATGAGCAATGGAAGAAAGGGGTACGCCGGGTCTCCCAGGATCACAATGGGCGTTTCAACATCTCCCATTGGAACCTTCTGGTCTGGAAACAACATCCCTGCTTGTAGCTTTCTGTACAGGCCAGCGTTCCTGAAGATGCGCGCATCATGCACCTTCCCTGACTACCCTGCGCTGATATCAGTGAAACAACCCCGGTGATCCATAAGCACCTCCAATACCATAGAGAAGAACCCCTTTCTGTTGATGTACTCTGTCGCAAGATGGTCTGGGGCCAAAATGCATGCCATCTATTGTTCCGCCGCAGTTAGGGAATTCCATTGCTGCAAAGCCATCTACTGCTTCACACACATTTCCAAGAGTCACGGTCTTTCATAGCAGGATGTGATTAATGGCCCTGCACACTGGCGGGAATGCAACTCCAACGGTGGACTTCCCAGCTCCAAACTGATTCACAATTTACCAGCTTCTACACAGAGATCGCCACACACCAAGAGGGCAACTCTTATTCTGGTGTCCTTGTGCTGCAGTGCTGAGGCGAGCTCCGCACACAGTTCAAGGAAGTGGCTTTGCACATCCGAAAGTTCTGCAGCCACTGCTCGTCATCCCAGAGCTGCATCACAATCTGATCCCACCACTTAGTGCTTGTTTCCTGAGCCCAGTAGTGATAGTCCACTGTGTGCAGCTGCTCCATGAATGCCAAAAGTAATCTGGTGTTGTTTCTTTCCATGGCACTCGGCAGGGCAGGCACCTTGGATTCCTGTTCAGATTGGGTGCTCATGATGATGTACTGCATGACCAGCCGTGATGTGCTCATAACACTGACCACAACAGTAGACAGCAGTGCGGGATCCATCCTTTCAGGCAGAGAGGGCAGGCACACAGTAAACGGGCTGTTGAAAAATGGCGCGAAATGTAGTCCGGAGACCATAGAATGATGGGACAGAAAAAGCTGCATCATGGGACATTGAGCCCGCATCCATGATGCATTGCGATCAGGGGCGGATCTATATTTTTTGCCGCCCCAAGCATGGCAGGCAGGCTGCTTTCGGCGGCGCGCCTGCGGGCGGTCTGCTGGTCACGCGGATTCGGCGGCATGCCTGTGGGAGGTCCGCCAGTGCCGCACCATTGGTGCCCCACCGCCAAATTGCTGCCGAAGCCAAGGGACCGGCAGACCTCCTGCAGGCACGCCGCCGAAAGCCGCCTCCCTGCCGCCCTCACAGCGACCGGCAGACCGCCCCCCGCGGTTTGCCACCTCAGGCACACGCTTGCTGTGCTGGTGCCTGGAGCCGCCCCTGCCTGCGATCCACTCTGCCTTCCCACAACTCCTAGCTGCAGAAGGTGGAGAGTAACACACTGGGATAGCTAGCTACCCACAGTGCACTGCTCTCACTGCCAATGTTACGGCACCACGCGTGGACGCACTCTGCCAACAGAAGAAGCGTTGTGAGAACATGCACAAGTGATGTAATGATAGCGGTTTATAATTGTCGGTGTTACTTGTGTCGACTTAACTCTGTAGTGTAGACTTAAGGCTATCCTAAGTGACACAGTCTGCTCTCTTTGCCTGTAATTGCTGCTACAGAGGACAGTAATTAATTGTTTGCTGGGCCCCCGGGGGGTTGGACAAGACGGAACCGGCCTAGTTTGCGGGAAAGGAGATGTGGACTGAATATTAGGAACAACTTTCCTAAGTAAAGGAGTTCAGCTCTGGACCAGGCTCCCAAGGGAGGCTGTGGAATCCCTGTCACGAGAAGTTTAAGAACAGGCTGGAGGAACACCTGTGGGGATGGTCTAGGTTGACTTGGTCCTGCCTCACTGCAGGGGCTGGACTTGATGACCTCTCGAGGTCCTTTCCAGCCCTACATTTCTATGGTTCCCCTCCCATTGGCTCTTATGGGGACTGTATGTACCCAATGGCTGGCCATTTCTATGGAGGGACTACTTTGGGGCCCCTGGGGAGGTAGATGCAATAGGGTAGTCAACCACCCTTCACAAGACCACACCGGGGCCACCTCTTGAGAGATGCTGGGAAGCTGTTGGGCTCCTCTTGGCTTCAATGAGGCAGGGGAGGCAGTGTTGCCTAGTGGATAGCACCAGACTAGGCGAGCTAGGCAAAATTCTCAGTTCTGCTACTGCTTTGCTGGGTGACTACAGGCAAGTCATTGCCCTCCCAACCCTCAGTTTCCCCTCTGTAAGAACGGGGGTAAGGACACTGAGCTCCTTTGTGAAGCGCTCGATAAGAACTAGGTATTCCTCTCATTGTGATGCCCAGCCCCTTTCAGGGTGAAGTGCGACAGGAGCACAGCCGCTGGCAGGGGCTGTGCTAGGGACAGAGCAGCGCAGCATGCACAGGGGGAAGTACTGCTGTGAGCTCCAGTGCACACGAGGAATTTTCCCAGGGTATCACCATTACACAGACACCTGACCTGGGAACCAGGTGCCGAGGGGCTGCGAAAACTCGAGACTAGGGCACCAAAGGCAGCACCTCCTCTCTCGCCTGCGGCAGCTGGGGCAGCCAGCGTGATGGCTTCTTCTGCAGGCTGCTGGCTACTGACCTTGGCACGGCCAAGCCCTTTCTCTTGGCCTTGCCTCTGAGCACACTGACATCCAAGGGAGCGGAGCAGGTTGTAAAGGCAGCACTAGAGCCCTGGGTGGGACTAGTGTAGAGCCCTGCAGCGGGACCGACCGGGATCCCACGAGGCCCACAGGACCCGCTGCCATATTAGCGGGAGTGGGTGTTGTGGGGTGGGACGGGAGCAGGATCCAATAGCTCTGTGCAGGGCTGTACGCAGACAGAGTGGAGAGATCAAAGGAGAGCAACAAAAAATAACCCACCTTCCATCTGGGCCTCTCGAAGGGCCTACAACCATTAACGACCCATGGCCAGTCCAGTGAAGGGGCGTCATTTGCCTTGTGTGCAGGCAGAGTCCTGAGCATGAACCGGGGCTTAATCCTTGCACAGCATCACCAGTGCCAAGAGTCCAAAATTCATGGGATTGGTTCAACATTAACGAGATTCCAAATAAGGGGGGAGGGATAGCTCAGTGGTTTCAGCATCAGCCTGCTAAACCCAGGGTTATGAGCTCAATCCTTGAGGGGGCCACTTATGGATCTGGGGCAAAATCAGTACTTGGTCCTGCTAGTGAAGGCAGGGGGCTGGACTCCATGACTTTTCAGGGTCCCTTCCATTTCTAGGAGATAGGGTATCTCCATGATTTAATTTATTTATTTTAATTTAATTTATAAACAAACACTGGATTCTTTTTCTTTGCCTCCTGCTTTCAGAGCCTTCAGGCTGTGCTCAGGTCACATTTGCAAGCTCTTCCCCACCACCATGAGGGCTAGAAACTTACTGGGTATAAAAAATAAAGAGCTTCCCACCTAATCACATGACTCTGGGTGCTGGAGCTCAAAGGAAAACACCCAATGTTACAAGAGAAAAGGATAATGTTGCCTCCAAGCCCTCTGCACTGCGAGTAATGAAAGGGAAACTGAGGCACGGTAAGGGGCAGTGACTTGTGTTAGGTCACAGCTCAGAGCCAGAAACAGAACCCACATGTGATTGCTAGGCCTGGGCCTAAGCTACAAGACCACTGTTCTAACTGAAAATTCACAACCTAAGATCGGTGAGGACAGGTTAAGCCAAAGTCAAGCGTCAAGTGAAGGCTGGGCCAGCAGCTTGCTGGGAGCTCTTGGGACACAACTAGCCGGCATAGAATAGAGCAGATTGCAGCCAGCCACCTTCATCTTTGATGCAATCCGTGGGCCTGCAGAGATTACAGGTCCCATCAGACATTGCTCTGTCTCAGCTTGTGGGGCCAGACCTCTGCTGACTGCATTTGGTCTATGGGGCTACACTTTTATCAATCCTTTTTTGAATCCTGCTATGCTCTTGGCTTCAATGTTATCCTGTGGCAATGAGTTCCACAGGCTAATTGTGCACTGTGTGAACACATGTCTCCTTGTGGCAGTTTTAAATTGCTGTCTTTCAATCTCATTGAATGTCCTTTTGCTCTTGTATTTCCTGAGTCAAGGGGAACAGAAGATACTGATTTATCTTCTCTATCCCGTTCATTATTTTGTACACCCGAATCAGGTCTTATCTTGTCTGATAGCTGCTCCCAGTGCCTGAAGGGAAGCAGCCTGTGATGGGGATTTGAGTGGCCTGGGTTTGAGTGCTGCTGGTGATATGGTGGGTTTTCTTGTGGCTGCATAGGAGGGGCTTTGTTTGGGATGCAATTTGGCCTAGTGGGTAGAGCATTGGCCTGAGCCTTCGGAGACCTGGTTTCTATTCTGGCTCTGCTGCTGGCTGACTTTGGGCAAGTCACTTCCCCTCTCTGGGCCTCAGTTTCCCAATCTGTAAAATGGGGCTAATGATACTACCCTGCTTTGCAGACTCCCAATGATTTGTGTCCCTTAGTTAATCATTTTGAATAATGAATACATGTGAGAAGATGGTGATCTGGCTGCAGACAATTCCTGGGATGGTGGAGGGGGAAGAGGCAGAATTTGTAGATGAAATGCGTCTGACGAAGTGGGCATTCACCCACGAAAGCTTATGCTCCAATACGTCTGTTAGTCTATAAGGTGCCACAGGACGCTCTGCTGCTTTCTACAGGTCCAGACTAACACGGCTACCCCTCTGATACTAGATTAAATAAAACATCCAGAATTCTTCACCCAGCTTTCGTCCCCGCAATAGACGCTACAGTCAGAGCGCGGCCAATGCCAGCTGACCGATCTCCCGTGGCTAGGTTGGCTCAGCAGGGATATCAGGAGCCAAAAATCTGGGTTGGGTCGGAGACCATAGTAAGGGCCAGTGTTCCCCCTCATTTTCCCGCCCATGTGCGGAATGAATTTTGTTATGTGCACCAGTATGGAGGTGTTGTGACACACAACCTTGGTGCACATAACAAAATTCACGTGGTGGGGGCTGAGGAGTTTGGCGTATGGGAAGGGGCTCCGGGCTGGGGCAGAGGGTTAGGGTGCGGGGGGTGGGGGAGGGCTCCGGCTGGGGGTGCGGGCTCTGGGGTGGGGCCGGGGATGAGGGGTTTGGGGTGCAGGAGGGGGCTCAGGGGCTACGGTGGGGAGAGAGGACTCTGGGAGATGGCTCAGGCCCAGTTCTCCAGCTGTGTAACTCAGTGCTGAGCTCCATGGAGCTCGGCTGATTTGCAGCAGCCGAGGATCCGGCTCAGCTGGGAAATGTGGAACAGGAAGGAGCCATTGGTAGTGTTCCTCTCCTGACTGCTACAGCGGCCCAGAACTGGGTCCCAGATCACCTGCCCCTCGGGCTGCAATGGACCGGTAGCCTCGTTTTTCACTCTGCTTGTGTGTTCTGCCCCTCTTCTACCCCTCTCTCACTCTTTGGGGCAGGGGATGGTTGCTCCTCTGTGTTTTTGCAGCACCTTACACCAGGGGCCTTCTGTCGTGGATGGTCCCTAGGCACTATTGTAACAACCATGAATATTAATAATAATAGCCCGCCCTCCGCAGTGGGCCCGTGTAGTGCCCAGGCCCTGCTCCACTGTGCCTACAGCATCAGAATAGTTTCTTTCTGCACACAGAGCTGCTGCTCCCGCCCTTGCCCACGCCTTGCCCACAGTGCCAGGACACGAGATCAGTGCAGTTTCCTCTTTCAGAATGCAGGAGCCACCAGCCAGTGTGGACCCCATGCTGCAACTACGTCTTGACAGCAGGTCTGGGCAGCTCAGGAAGCACCAGAGACCCAGCTGGCGGGGACCAGAGGGACAAGGGCCATGCTCACCAGTGCGTCTGCCTGGGGTGGCACCACGCTAGGGTGGACTGAACTGCTAGCGGAGAGACCCCCAGCCTGTGTGTTACTGCAGGAGAGGAGCTGGGCTGCTCATGGAGCTGTGCTGGGGTGACTCCCCAGGTGCGGCTGGGACTCGGAGCTGCTCTTGGCAGGTCCCCTGCATGGGCAGGGGCTGCAGGCTACTGGCTTGACTCTTCACGTATATTAAGCTTCTTCCCTTCCTGAGGGCTGGAGGCTTTACCCAGCAGCGGTAGTTAAATGAAAGAAAAGGCCAGTTCAGACTGCACCCAGATGCTGCTGGTGAGGCCTGCAGTGTCCAATTCACCTCCGCTGGGAGCACATGGTGGTGAGGGGAATGGCCCATCGCCACCTCTCCAGCCCCCTCCATTGCTGAGTGGATCCCTGCCACAGCATGGCCCCCAGCCTGGAGCCAGGATCCCAAGATGAGCTAAGTGCAGCGCAGAGCCAGTATGGCGAGGGACCAAACCCACATATTACAAAGGGAAAAATCCCTGGGAGCTGAGCTCAGCACAGAGACGGAGCCACCCAGCCCAGATTGCACGAGGACCAGGGAGCCCGCGCCAGCCCAGGGACTGGCCCTGGCCGCCCGCCCACCCACAACAGGCCCTCGAGAAAATGAGGGGGAAAGACAGCGAGAACGTCTGTCTCCAGGGCTGAAAGTAGAAATAGGGACTTACCGGTATGGGGCTGGGTTGGGGCCGGCTCTGGCCCCTGGAAGGGGCGGGGCCTTGGGCGGAAGGGGTGGGGATGGGGGTCAGAGCCAGCCCCGGCCCGCCCTGTATCGGCAAGTGCCCTCCCCTCCCCCGCCGGGGTAGCAGCGGCAGCTGGGGGCTCCAGCGGCTATTTAAAGGGCCCAGGACTCTCCTGCTTCTACCGCCCTGGCCCTTTAAATAGCCCCCAGAGCCCTGGGTAGCGGCAGCGGAGCTCCGGCGGCTATCTAAAGGGCCTGGAGCGGTAGAGGCAGTGGGAGCCCCGGCCCTTTAAATAACCCCCGGAGCCCCGCTGCCGCTACCCCAAGGTTCCAGCAGCGGGACTCTGGTGCCAATTTAAAGGGCCTGGGGCTCCAGCCGCTGCTGGGAGCCCCAGGTCCTTTAAATTGCCGCCTGGGGAAGCCGGGCCGCCCCAGTACGGCGCACCGGCTCTTGCCGGCTTACTTTCACCTCTGTCGGTCCCGCTCACTGGACAGACAAAGCAACTGCCTGAGTTCACCTGCTCCAGGGCGAAACAGTCCCACCGGCCCTGGGGAGCCAGGCTGGGCAGAACCAGCTACTACCGTGTATAATCGACGGTACTCCCTGCAGCGCCTCCTGGCCTCGGAGCTGTACTCTGCCCCCTTCCCAGGAGCTCCCCACGCTGGAGAAAAGCTGGGCGTGCAGTAGCTAACTAGTTCCCCCTAACAGCTGCTACGCTGGCCGACACTGGGGACCTCCAACGCTACAAAGCAGGAGCTGCTACAGTGTGAACTAAAGGGCCCAGCTTCCAAGCTGGGGCTGTAAGACCCATATCCTCCATGCTGTGGGTCGGAAACAGGGCGACCGCTGGGTTACACTGGTGCAAGTTTTATTGCACCTCCTGCTGGAAGAGTCTGGGAGTGCCCCAGAGCTAAAGCTCCTGCACCGTTTGCAACAGTGCCTCCTGCTGGGAGAGGCAAGCCCTGCAGTCCACAGGCCCCCTGCAGTGGTGTGGAAGTGGCTGGTGCTGCACAGACCCATTGGTTTCCCCACTCCATGCCCCAAATGCCCGCAGTAGAGCTTCCCGTTTTGCTTTGAAAGCAGCCAGGCCCTGGGCCTGCAGAAAAGCTGGGGATGTGGGGAGGGGGACGGCACTGCCCCCTCCCCCGACCTCTTCCCAGCTTGCGTCTCCCCAAGGGGAGGCTGGAAAGGGGGTGGGAGGCAAGAGTGACCCCTCTGCTCCTCAATATTGCAGCCTTTCCCTAAGGCAGCCCCAGGGCGTCCCCCACTCGCAGCTCCTCCCAGTGGGCTCAGAGGGATGGGAGACAGGTCATGGGGAGATCAAGCCCTTCACCTCTATTGCATGGGCTCAAATTTGCCCCCCCAGCCATTCCCAGCTAGTGCCTCCCCCACGGGCAGACAGCTAAAGTGGCAGAGAGACTGTAAAGGGGTCAGAGCG